ATTCCGCTTGCGCTCCTACATTGAATAGCGGAGAAATAAGCCAAACCATTGTTTATCATCTCGGGTCATCGAAAGGAGATGTTGTCGCTCAGACCTCTTTACACCACTTGAACGTCGGTCAATCGGCGTGCATGAGGGCGGGTCAGTTTCTATCGTTTGCTTCGATTTTAGTAAGGCGTTTAATTGTGATTCACATAAGCGCCTTAATTAAAAGATGCCAGAATTAGTGATTATAGGAAGTCCACTGAACTGGATTAAAGATTTTGTGAACGATCTCAAAGAGGATGCTACGGCGGATAGCTACTATTCTGAATCGACTTCCGTTAAGTGGAAAGTTCCCTAAATATATATTATGAAACGTCATCAAAAACCAACACCTTACCGCCATATTAATGATATTCGTCCTGTAGCTATGATGCTGAACATCCAGCGGAAATTAGAATAATCACGGTCAACACATCCGACTAAACAGTCCTATTTTGGACGCATTTGACTCCACTGGATTAAACTTAAGACAGTACAACAACTGTGCTTCCAGCGTTGAAAGTGTAGATGCCAACGAGACGATGTTTCCTTCCCATGCACATGCTTCCCTTTGAGAAACTAGCTGTTCACCTGAAGAGCATATCAACTATTCCCTTTATTCGGTCGGATGTCCGAAACAATGGATACAAGCATGACTAAAAAAAATCCCAATCTCCTTACGTCACGGTGCCCAAGGAACGAATGAGAATGCATATCTACAATTTGAAAATCTGTAAATTTTCGAGATTCTCGCCTGGGAGCCATGCGTCGTTATCGTATGTAGTCCGATGGCCAGAATTTCCGATTACTCCAGCACGCATGCGAGCAAGTAACTGCAAATCTCCAGATTTCCGAAATTCCAGCCTAAGAGCCTTTGCGTATTTGTAGATCGTCGATCCCTAGAGAAGTTCCCAGCACCCTCGCAACACGGTCAGGCATGCTATTTTGCTAGAGTCACAAAATTGGTGTCTTGTCTGAAATGACACGAGTTAATCAGACGCCAGCTATATTGGACCGCATAGTCTAAACGAAAGGAAGCCATTTCTTACCCACAGACAGCCTTGGAGCACGCACAAAATTGTGCTCGGGTGTGGTTATTCTCCAAATATTAAAAACGATCGGCTACAATGCATGTCGTCGGGCGTTTGGTTTACTGCGCGCTCATGGTTTTAAACGCTTACTGCTTTGCTGGTTTGAAATCGTCGAGGTCTTTGTAAGTCCAATTGATTTACTTTTCCAAATACACCCCCGAAAAGAAAGGGGAATTACAGACATGGGTAACGTTGACACACACACATACGATTACTGCCCCCCAGCCGATGATCTATGCTCTGTTGAAATGCATCACAACAGGCAGACGCAAATGTACCCTGTAGTTTTAAGATGTAGCGCAATGTGATTAGCCATTCGTTGGATAATATTCTGATTCTTCCCCTTGCTGCTGTGGGTTCGAATCCCACCGTGGCGCCGAGTTGTTCTCAGTTGGGTCAATATGAAACATTTGGACAGTTATTTGCTGACAGATTTGGACAGCTGACAGGTGCGTGGTAAAATAAATTAAGAGCGCGGCTGGCACTGTGAGATCCCCTTGAAGGGGCAAAAACACGAACGGTAACTAACATAAATGTAAAAGCACTTTGAGATTTCACGACACGTTTAAAGGTTGTGGCCTATAATATGAGCAACTGACTAGATGATTTGTACCTCGAGGAAGTTTGTGGAGTGAGCAGAGAACCAAGAGTCAGGCTGCAACGTCATAGCTTAATGTGGCATTTGCAGCGGTAGATGCGCCCATTTAAACTAACGCTCTTAGTCTGCTTCAGGTCTCGATAAGACATATCTATTCTTGACGGTGTTCTAAGATGTGCAGGATCCTTACCCGACCTCTTTCCAACCCCGGTTATAGACAGGACAGTCCAGCTAATTAGATGACTTGGTAATGATGTATACTGCGGAAATTTTTTCGATATATCGGAAAAGTCTAGTATCAGATGATTTCTAGCATAAACAGGAACTGCGTCACGCCAGTCAACGCTCCATAGTAAGTGTGAAGCAGGGACGGTTCCTTGCGCGTGAATTACTTTATAGTAAATGTAGACTTGCACAGCATCTACCGCATTCTCTCCACCTCCTCCACCTGGACACCGCGAGAAGACATAGACATTCGATAGTGGACTCCTTTACTGGCATATTTTGGGCATTCCCTTATCGTGAGTGTGTTTGAGAGACCCCTGGATACCACCGGTTAATGCTTAGCCTGAACATCCAAAACCCCATCTAGTGGGCAATCCAATCGCTGCAAACATAGTACTACCGTTATTTCAATAATCATAAGTGAAGAAGTAGAGTCGAGCACAGGAACACTGTGTTTATTGTCCTGAGCTTTCAGACTCGTATATAAGTCCATCGTCAGGGGTAGCGGCAGTAGCAGCAGAACAAGCGACAGTTATAAGACATGCAGGCCAATCATCGACCAACGGCGCAAGACTGGAGGTGACTACGCAGGGCTGTGTACGCCGGCGCCACATCGATAAATCGAGTCTGAAAGCTCAGGACGATAAACGCAGTGTTCCGGTGCTCAACTCTTCTTCTTCACTTATGCATACGCCTGGAACTCGAAATTTCGCCTTCATTTCAATAATCATTTTGTTTGAAAAAACGTTGTCCCTCTACTGAACATACTGATTCCTAACGCAGTAAATGCGTTCTTCGTTGTAATTTCG